CCCGGCAATTCGGTGGCAGTGGCGGTGGACGACGACCACCGCCTCATGGCAGACGCTTTTCGCCGCGCGGACGCAGTCCAATGCGTCAGGATAATGGCGGCGGTGGTGGCGGACGCTTTCAGCGTTCCAATTCCCGCCGTCGCTCGCGCTCCCGCATGCTCTCCAGATCGCCCATGCGCTACTCCAGATCACCCAGGCGGTAAGAATATCTCTTAAATGTTATATGATTGCAAATAGAAAATACTCAACTCTGTTGTGGGGTTAAGCTCCTGATCTGCATCTGTATAAACGTTTCGATTTTAGAGACAATTAGAATCAAATAATACAAATTTTCTATGAGCAACAGTTTTCAAGTAAATCTCATTATCGTGAACTGGAACACATTTGTTATAGATCTCATTCTAATAAATATTCTATTCGGATAGGTAAAGATTTTTCATACGAAAATTAAAAATTAATGCATATATATTAGATAATTATTCACAGGACAATTTCTTAGGGATATATTAATAATGCGTTATTTAAAACTGGGGATCAATTAAAAATCAGGAAAGAACAGCTAAATTTCGGAATACATAAGATCATGCAGTCTTTTCTGCTTTATTCCTACGGATAAGCTAATCTGCATGCAATCCTTGGTAGCCTCCTTTTAAATCCTTGTAGATGACATTTTATCATCAAACATCAGTACTAACAACCGTCTATATGTCAATATATATAGATCCGTCTAAATATTCCTAGCTCACAGTTGCATTTGTTACATATGACGGAACTGGCCCGATCGAATCACAATATAATATAGCTGCACATAGATGAAACTCTGCTTATAATCCTTGGTAGCCGAAAATACTTGTATTTTAAATCCTTGGAAAGGGCGTTTGTCATGAAATTTGTTGCAGGCAGTACGTATCAACAGTTTGAGGGCTGTATATAATAAAGATAGGTTGAAATTTATTTAAAAAACGTAAATTATGGATTTTAAGATATCTTGACCAAGCACAGCATTTATTAGATTTACTAAGAATCCAATACTCCTCGTGATATCCTTATGTCCACAAGGGTAATCTTCGGCGTACGCTTTTTTTGTTCCTTGTTAAGCTCTCAACAAGCAAGTATCGAATAGAGAAGCCTTGAAGACTATTTCGACTGGTTAAATATAACTTTTGACATCGTTGTCATTAAGTATGTCGCCTTGTCAAAGTGTCTACTCAGAAAAAGACAAGATATACATATGTACTCGATACTGCCTACTGTCTAGTTGTGACAAATAAATATACATCTTTTCTTGATATTTTGCAATTGTTACTAAATGAATTGTTATTCGCAATTTCCTTCAAACAGTTTTAACAATCGCCGTCGCTCGCCGCAGATGCATTTCCGCGGGGGCGGTGGTGGTCGCGGGCGCGGTGGCGGCAACCATCGCAACATGTGGCAGCAACAATATCGCGGAGGCAGTCCCAATCAGCGGGGCGGCGGACGCATACACTGGCAGGCCAGGCACAACAGTCCCAATGGCGGACGACGCTTTGATCGACGCCAGTCGCCGCCGGGTGGCGGTCAACATCGTTACTCCCGCGATCGCCGTGGATCGCCTGGCGCTCAGGGCAATCAGCAGCAGGGACAACAGTTCCGCAAGCAGTTCTCGCCGGGACGTCGCTTCGACCGACGCGGCTCGCCGCAGGGCAACTTTAATCGCTGGGATCAGAATCATCCCGACCAGCGTCAGCCGATGGCGGCGATGCGCAATCAACAGCAGCAGCAACGCGTACGACGCTCCAGTTCCGGCAGTGCTAGTCCGGCCGCGCGTCGTCAGCAGCAGCGCAGTGCTAGTCCATTGCCCAGGAATCGCAGTCGCAGCCGCAGTCGCTCCAGCGCACGTCCAACGAAACGCAGTCGCAGCCGTAGTCGCAGTCCGCATAGTCGCAGTCGTTCCAACTCGCGACAGCGGCAGCAGCAGCAGCGCCGACGTGCAAGTCCCGCTGCAGTGCGTCGGTCCGTTGAGTTTGCCGGTCCCTCGGTCAACACCATTGATCTCTGCCGCGAAGAGCCGCCGCCGACTCTGCCGCCCACAGAGCAGCAGCCGCCGCAGCGCAAATCGGAGTCACAGCAACCGCTGCTGCCGCAACCGCCGCAGTCGCTGTCGCAGCCGCCGTCGTCACAGCAGCTATCGCAGCCAGCGCGCCGTAGTTTTGCCAGCCTTTCGCGCACCCCATCGCCGTTCCTTAAATCGCATGAGCGCAGCGTCGTTAGCGCTGGCGCTGCCGCAGCACCAAAGAAAGCTCGCGACAATAGTCAAAGCAGCAGCTCGGATAGCAGCGCCGAGGACAGCGATGACAGCGATAATGAGGATCAGCAGCTGCCGAAGAAGCGTCATCAATCGCGTCGCTCGGCGCCGGGCGGCAAGAGCCAAAAGGCTAAAGCCTCAGCGACGGAGCCAAGAGCCAAGAGCTCTAGCAAGGCCAAAGTGTCGCGCAGCTCGGCCAGCAGCAGCAGCAGTGAGCACAGCGACGACAGCAGCGATGAGAGGCACAAGAAGAAGTCGCAGCTTAAGCGCAAAGACGAAACGACTGCAAGCAGGGGAGAGAAGGAAAAGCAGCGTCGAAGCGGGGACAAGAAACTGCAGCGCAGCACGTCCAGCGAGGTGGTGCCGCCAGAGGCATTGGTGGAGAAGCAAAGAAGCTTGGACCGGAGCCGCAAGCGAAGTCATAAAAAGTCGCGCAGAGATGGCAGCGGCGGTGGTGGCGGCGCCGGCGGCGGCGGGGATGCAAGCGAGTCTGAGGAAGAACGTCTGCCCAAAAAGAAACGCAAGAAGTCAAAGAAAGCAGCAGCAGATACTAGCGACAGCGACTCTGCATCGGAGGCTGAGTCGTCGTCCAAGAAGAAGAAACACAAGAAACACAAGAAGCATAGCAAGAAAAGCAAGAAGCATAAGAAGCATAAGCGAAAGAGCAGCAGCAGCGCCAAGCATCGGCAAGAGAGCAGCTCCCAGAGCAGCGCTGATGACGATGCAGAGCTCTCAACGAGGGCTGGCAAGCGGAATGGAAAGCTGCCGCTGATGCTCACTGGCGGCCCTGGCATCAATGAGGATTTGGAGAAACAGCTGCGCGAGCGGGCATTGAAATCCATGAAAAAGTTGGACTGAGCAACAGCAAACGGCTACAATAAACTGACTAAATTAAACAGGAGAAGAAGAAAGAATATAAACGTTAACACAATGCGATCCCTCATACAAATAAAAAATACATATGCATACGACACCCTGACATTCAGACAGACATGCGTAGCCATTTAATCACTAACATAACATTCATATTTGCATACATTAATTAATATTTCTAACAATTTATTTCATACGTTTAAGTCACATTGCGCGTCGAAACCTATTATAACAAGAATTCGTGCATGATAAATACAATTTGTATTATGTACAAAAACAAGAAATTTCTCAAAAAAAAAAAAAACAAAAATATTACAATAACAAATAAAAAGCCATTGTGCTTTTACAAAAAAAAAAACCCTTTAAAAAAAAAAAATCAAACTAAAGAAAAGTTTGATAATGTGCATGTTGCTACAGTTATTAGGCAACAATGTTTGCTTAGAACACTACCGTTTAATGTCTAAGTAGGTTTTACAGAATGTAATTAATGATACCTAAAACGAATATTATGTGCGTTTGAGAGCATTATTGATTAATATATATATAAAGAAAAAAAATAAACAATTGTAAAAGTAGTAATTATGTATTTTGAATTTCAACCCTAAGCAGATAAACATTTCACAGCACTATTTTGTGGTGTATCGGTCACACTTAAATAACCAAGCTGGCAACGCTGCGAGCAGCTGTCAAATGCTTTGACAGCTCACCAACTTCCTTTCCTTTTTTACGTATCGTACGAGATGGTAAGGCTGAAAATATAAATGGAATATAAATACACTGCCATCGACGCGCAATACAAACAAAAATCCAGTGAAATGTAATGCAAATTACGCTATAAACTGTGCAATTGTTGATTCTGTGAGCATTTATGTAAACGTGCGTGTGTTTAAATGAAAAACTTTGGAGTTTTTGTTTGTTGTTGCAGTCGTTTGCTTGAAATCCGTTGAATTGATTGTTAACTGGTTTTTGTACATCGTTTTTGTAGGCTCGTGGACCTAAGAAACATTTGAAGCGTTTAGCCGCACCAAAGGCATGGATGTTGGACAAATTGGGCGGCGTTTTCGCCCCACGTCCCTCAACCGGTCCACACAAGCTGCGCGAGTCGCTGCCGCTGTTGATCTTCCTGAGAAATCGTCTTAAGTACGCTCTCAACGGCGCCGAGGTGACCAAAATTGTCATGCAGCGCCTGATCAAGGTTGATGGCAAGGTGCGCACGGATCCCACCTACCCAGCCGGCTTCATGGGTAAGTTGACTCGCACTCGGAACAACGTTTCAGTTTTTAATCGTTTATAATTTATATGATAGATGTCATCACCATTGAGAAGACTGGTGAGTTCTTCCGTCTGGTCTATGATGTGAAGGGACGTTTCACCATTCATCGCATTTCCGCTGAGGAGGCCAAGGTAAGTTCAATGAAAGATGGGTCCGCATACGGCGGGCTTTATCGAAGACCGTTTAGCGTTTTCCAGTACGCCAATTGGTTCAAAATGAAGCCCATAGCAATTTTTGATACGACGGTCTCTGAACTGTGCATTTTACCAGCCGTTTCAGTAACTTTTACGTGCAATTACAAATCAACCAAGATATTATTAGCTTGGATCCACATTTAGAACTTTATATTCTAAATTCATATTCTTTTTATTGCAGTACAAGCTGTGCAAGGTGCGCAAGACACAATTGGGTGCCAAGGGCGTGCCATTCCTGGTGACGCACGATGGCCGCACCATCCGCTATCCCGATCCTCTGGTGCATGCCAACGATACCGTGCAGGTGGACATTGCTACCGGCAAGATCACCGACTACATCAAGTTCGATTCGGGTAGGTGCATCATTTAAACGTTAAACTTGGCTGGTTCGAAGACCACAAAACGCTTTCTATTAAGTTGCGTGGTTCAAATACAAAGCCAATAGCAATTTTTGATACGACGGTCTCTGATTTTTGCATTTTGCCAGCAATTTCAGTAACTTTTACGTGCAATTACATTTACAATATCCAAGTTAATATCAAGCTATGAGTATAACAAAACTTTCATATTCCGATTCACAGGCAACCTCTGCATGATCACTGGAGGCAGGAATTTGGGACGTGTTGGCACCGTTGTCAACCGTGAGCGTCATCCCGGCTCCTTCGATATTGTGCACATTAAGGATTCGCAGGGTCATGTGTTTGCCACTCGTTTGACCAACGTGTTCATCATTGGCAAGGGCAACAAGCCTTACATCTCGCTGCCAAAGGGCAAGGGTGTTAAGCTGAGCATCTCGGAAGAGCGCGACAAGCGTTTGGCCGCCAAGACCCACTAAATAACATGCCAGCCGGACAGCAGCAGCAGCAGATTAGGGGACAAGAGTAATGAGGATTTTTACCTTTTAGCATAACTCTGTACGTTAGAGCTACGGAATTACAAAACAACGTAAACAAAATCATTCGTTTTTTTATACCCCACGTGTGGCGTTTAACATGGATAAGAGATTCCAATATGAACCTGCCGTGGTATGTGGTTTATTTAAGTGGGCATGAGAAATCGTTATCGATATATGGTGAAAGAGCCGGACGGATCGCCCAACTTCTTGGACCACCTCATATTTAAGTCCAAAACATTAGTTTCATTGGAGCCATTTACAAATTGGGCTTAAATTGAGAAAATTTAAGGAATACCATTAGCTATAAGGAGGGGGTAAGTTTCGCGCGCCAATTTTTGCTTATCAATGTTCAGTGCTGTCTAATTTTGTCTGCGTGCAGGGCTGCAAAGCTACGATAAATGCGCTAATGCGTATCGCAATTATCGATAACAAGTTCTGTCCTTGTGTGTAATGCAGTGAAAGGCTTGCGCACTGGGCAAATTAGTTGAAAAGAAACTGGAAATCAACTCGCCCACTGAAGTAAATCCTAGGTAACTTATACTAATAATTGGAAGCCATATAGCTGCTGGCAGCCAAAGCCAAAGTCATACCATCTGTACGAGTGTAAACTGTGTGTGCGTGTGTTTGTGTTTTGGTGTTGATGTGAGCCCGCATACACATACATGCCTTCATATATACACACTAGTACATATGTTTGTGTGCATGTTGGTCATATGTTAGCATGTCTGATAAACTCTCTGTTGAAGTGAATCATTTGTTTGGCTCCAGTTCGAGTTTGTTTGTTTGTGTAATGCGAAGCGCATTAGTTTGTAGATAGTTGCGGTCTTTGTGCCCTCACATAGCTAAAGTAAAGCACTCTACATTCGCAGACAGTCGCGTCATAGAACCCAACGACCACGCACCACCCACAAAAAACAACGAAGCAACACCAAAGACAGTTTTGTACAACCGACACAGAGAACTAGAGTGACCAGGCTAACACACACATACACACCGACATACACACATAGTACAAGAGTGACCAGACACCAATAATCATGGCGCAGGCATTGAACAATCCAGCCGGTGGCACGCATCGCGATTATGGTGCTACATCCAGTGCCACGCCCGAGGTGAGCTTTGCCGCTGCCTCCAGTGGCAATTCCGGCTTCAGTCCCACAGAGTTCGTGTCGCTGAGCGAGGATATTGGCCACAATATCACATCGATACACAGCAGCACCAAGCAGCTGGAGAAGCAGCTAAAACTCATAGGCACTGCCAAGGATTTGTCGGCATTGCGCGAGAAGATACACAGCATTAATACGAAGAGCAATGCGCGCGTCCAGACCACCAGTCAGGATTTGCAGCGGCTGCAGGCGGTGGTGCGCCATGGTGATCGCCAGCAGAAGCTGCAGCTGGACAAGCTCACCCAAGGATTTCAAGACGTTGTCGAGAAATACTCAATGCTGCAGAAGCGCATATCGCAGGCAACGCGACAAAGCTATCAGATGGCCGCCGAGGCTGAGCGTGAGTCTGTCATGTCGGCCAGAACGGAGCTGCTGCAGCTGCAGCGTCAGGATCAAGCCGAACTGGAGCAGCAGCATTCTATGCTCGTCGAGCGTCAGCGCCAGGTCGAACAAATTGAGGCCGATATACTCGATGTTAATGTTATTATGAACAAGATAAGTACTATGGTGGTCGAGCAGCGGGAGGTGGTGGGTGAGTACACTTTGGCAGTCGCTAACAAATTGCATTACCTTTAAAATACGACATTGATAATAAAGCTCAATATCGTATATTGGCAAAATTTAAATAATTTTCGATAACAGTTGTGCAGCTGATCGATCAGCTGTCGATAATTTTGCCTAAATCAAATAGAGGAATATCATTATCGTATCGAAACATCATAAAAAATTTAATTACCTTTAAAATACGATATTGATAATGGAGCTCAATATCGTATCTTGGCAAAATTGAAATAATTTTCGTTAACAGTTGTGCAGCTGATCGATCAGCTGTCGATAATTTTGCCTAAATCAAATAGAAACATCATAAATAGAGATTTAAAATATTGACACAATTTAATATCATTCCATATCGCAGATAACATGGAAACGCTTATTGATCGAACGGCCGCTGACGTGGAGGAGGGACGCAGTGAGCTTCAGAAGGCGGCTGCCAGTCGTAATAGCCACCGCCGTAAGATACTGATACTTTTAGTGATTGCTGTGATAATAGGATTAGTTGTAACTGGCATTATAGTCGGAAAATTGAGTTAATTGTTTAATATATATATATTATATCTATATGTGTGTGTATATATCTATATACATATATATACACATTGCGTACATACACATAAAATAATTAACTAAAGTTTTGTAAAACTATTTTTATAAAAAATAATGCATTAATCACAAAGTGAGTAAACGCGCGCGCCAAGCGAGCAAAGACAAAACAGCAAAAATTAAATACAAATACGAGTTTAAATCCGAAACGCGTTGTAGATTGTAGTTATGTGTATGAACAAAAAATTAAAAATATAAATTTAAATATATGTAAAAGAAAAGAAACAGTTTAAAATAACACAATAACAATTTAAAATATTCAACGCTTTTAAATGTTAAATTATTTCCTGTTAAACAAAATATCAAAACAATAATTTGCGTATTGCATTGAATGTACAATTTGTTTTTGTAGTTAAGCGAGTAAATAATATACGTTGAATAAACTCGGTTGATTGCTTATCGGTCTGTATGCTTAAGACATTAAAAGATACATTTATATAATCTGATTGACTTTATACATAAATTTAATTAACCAAAGCCATTTAACTTGTAGTCCGAATTTAAATAAAAGCGGCATGATTCAAAACAATGTTATGAGCTTAAATGAGGAGCACTGTGGAGTAAATTTACTCAAGTGTTGATGTTATTAGGTTACAGGCCTTCTTTTGCCATAACAGTCCAATAAGACCAACTATTCGCCGACCTCCACCAATTATCGGGCATCTGCTGGTAGAATTTTCTGCATCGTGTTTTATTTGCAAGAATTTTAATTGCGTTCATTTGGTTTATTTGCGCTGTAAAAATGCCACAAAGTAAATTTAAAAAAGATAAATTACCTGCTGCCATACAGAACAAGAATAAACAGGCAGCGTTCAGACGCAGAGCAAGTGAGTGGCGCAGTTTGGCAAAGCGCGGGAATAGTCTTATATGAAAAACAGGTATGTTAACCTCTTATCAGCTAAAGGCTATTAATATTCATTCTAACCAGACTTGACCTATAAAGCCAGTCGGTCGTATGTCTGCTATGAAAACTACATCCTCACGAATCTTTGCAAATGTCTGTCTATATAGTTGCTATTCAAAAATTATTGAAAATTCAGCACTGTATGGAGAATATTTTTGTTTCTCAAGATATCTTGACCACACTTAGTGTAACTATTTTCTATCATATTTTATCTTATATCTTCGAAGATCGGGCTACTACATCAGATGACTACTGAAGAACTAACAAACGTTTGAAAATAGAGCGCATTTTTTAAACAATTGTAAACCTTACGTTTACTGATTTAATTAGAAATTATTTGCTGAGCTTAAATCAGGAGCACTACTGAGGGTTAAAGGAATATAACAGTTGATGTTATTACGTTAACATGCTCATTTTTGCGTTAACAGACGAATCAGACAAACTATTGACCGACCTCCACAACATATCGGGCATCAGCTGGTAGAAATTTCCTAAACGTGCTTTTTGTGCAAGAACTTAAATTGCTTATATTTAGTTTATTATAACTATAAAAATGCCTCAAGGTAAATTTAAAAAAGCCAAATTACCTGCTGCCATACAGAACAAGAAGAAGCAGCAGAAACAAGCAGCGTTCACACGCAGAGCAAGTGAGTAGCGCACTTCGGCAACAGGTTGCAATTGCTAACATGCGGTATTTTCATATGTTTTGCAGATGCTCCTATACAAGCCAAGAAGGGAAAATTTAATGAAACGCAAAAAATCAAGGCGGTCATTTCCAAATCTGTTAACAAAAGCGTCGAAAGCGAGCTGCGTTCGCGTGCACATGAAGGATATATACAGCTAAGCAAAGCCCAAGAAGCGGTCGCTAAGCATCATTCGACGCAGGCCGCAGCAGCGGCAGCGATAGCCGCAGCCGCCAGCACAGACAAAGCGCGGGAATAGTCTTATAGGAAAAACAGGTATGTTTAACTCTTATTAGCTAAAGGATGTTAATATTCATTCTATAGCCCGAGTTGAACGATAAGGCCAGTCGGTCCGAATGTTAGGTTCGTCTTCTTGCAAAAAACTATATCATATTAGGGGCCATTCAAAATTTAATTTCTTTTATGGAAACGTTTTTATGTTTTAAGATATATTGACCAAAGCGTTATTCTTTTAGACTATTATTATCATCGGACTACTATATCGTAGGAGAGAAATCGAATCAAAATTGAATTTGCTTGTGTTATGTTTTGATTAATCCTAACTAAACCTAGCATTTACAAGCTTTCCTATACTTTTTGGATGAGAGATTGCCATCAGACTAGCTTTATTGCAAAAGTCGGTCGAAAAATGATATGTTTATAGACACCTTTTTTGTTTCCGAAGATATCTTGAGCAAACTTAGCAATTATGAGTTTCAATATTTTCCAACATATCTGATAAATTTCTAATATCGGACTACTACATCAGCTGGCTCAGAAAGTACAAATAATTGCTTATAAAAACTGAGTAATTTTAAACTGAATTATAAGCCATATGTTAACTGAGTATTTACTGTTTCGAGTGTTGTCTTCTTTCATAGGAACGAGGTTTGTCCGTTTATTATCCGTTCCAGGCAGATATGGGTGCTTTAAAGGGCTGCTGTTTTATAGGCCAAATTGTTTTATACTCTTTCTATACTCATTTCCAATGGGGTGCAGAATGCAAAGAGGAATGCAGTGGGCTGCATCCCATCAAACTCCATTGCAAACACCGAGTGGTGTTGTAATTGCAGGCTGAGTGCAGTTCATTTGCATGCTGTTGAATATGCAAAGGACACTCCAATTTTCGCAGCATAAAACTAAAAACGTAAAACGTTCAAAAACCCACCGCATCCATATTGCGCACCTGGTCCGCACACCTGGACGCTGTCGCCGTGTGAGCGAGCGCTCATTTGCATGCGATTGACTGGGTGGAGTGGAAGAGCGTGAGCGACGGAATCAAAGTGCAATACGAATCAGCATAGAAAAACAAAGACAACAACCAATTGACAGCGGATTTTTGCGTTATTCCATGCGGGGAGAGGGCTAATTAAAAGCGCATCAAAAGCGCCAAATTTTTGCATAGCAAACGAAACGAAACGTTGCAAAAATTAAATAAAAATTTGTTAGTTTCTCATTTTACGTTGTTTTTTTTTTCGCTTCTCTTTTACTTTTCACTTTTCATTCTGCCAATGCCGAAAAAGTTTGCTTTGATGAGCTAAGGACGGGTGTGGAGTGTGGGGCAAGCAACACGCCCAATAAATGTCAGCGCACAAAACTTTGTTTGCCAAACTATTTTTATAATTAAACAAACACAAACTAATTGCGATAAGTAGCAAAATGACTTGGCAATTTGTGAAACATTCCTACTGCAGCCTGCGGCCCATAAATTACCCAAATGTCAGTGTTGCATGTTGCAGACGCATGTTGTTGCTGTTGCAAGTTCCCCAAAACCAAAATTAAAATATATTTTTTAAAAATGTTTGGTTTTTTAGTAAATTTGAACAACATCTTTATATTGATATCCTTGCGCAAACTAAACTTGCATCAGTATCTCGATATCCGACAAAGTCGGTCCGGTCTATATGTCTTGACATAGGACTTATAGTTAAAAAATAAAGTTATAATTTCTTTCAGTTACAATTTATTGTAGAAACACATCCGCATAAATGAAATGTACAAACATTTATTTTATGTATGATGAAAAATGTACTGTCTAATCAAATCAGACGCTGGTGACGATGCGAAAATTTCATTTATTACTCCCCTCCAAAAGGTTTCTGTTAATTCCTTGCGTAACTTGAAGATGTCTCCAAGTGTTTCCCATATTAGTGCACGATTTTGCTGGTGTTGTAGCTCCACAATAGTCTCAATTTTTTCACATTTATTCATTATTTCATTTAACTTGGGGAAGTCCTTGTTTTCGTATAGGCAACCACATTTAATTTCCTTAGAGATGATAACCCCAAGTCTATAGGCACTCGTCCGTATTGCTGCTGTTGGTTCATTTGGATTGTCTTGGAGATACAGTGGAGCCTCCCATGCTGATCTTATTTTCTCCTTATAGTCCTTGGTAAACTCATTGTTTTTGTCTTCTAAGATTGCCCATGTGATTTTGAAGAGGAAAATACTGGGATATTTCAGGTCAATTGGATTATCTTTCATATTGCAGACAAAAGGTATTGATTTAGAACAATGCTCCAGACATGTCTCAACTACATCTCCTTTCGCTGTGTTAGGTTTGTTCAAATTTTGGCCAGTAATTGACGCATCAATTTTCTCAACAACAGCACGTATAAATTGTATCTTTTCATCTGTCTTAACATTTACTAGATTGTCTGGAATTTTCAGTTTTTTGAGAAAGAGTTTGAGAAAATATATGTATATGTGCATGTGAGGTTTTACATATCGATATTGTTCTTAAGATCTAGTTCTACTTATCGATACTAGGGTTGCCACACGGTTGACATTAAGGAATTGTTTATTAAAATGCAACATATCCATCAAAATTATATATATATAAATATAGCTGTCATAGAAATGATTAATCAGAAATAAAGTTCCTCTATGCACAACATTTCCGTTTGACAAGATATCTCGAATTAACTTGGCATTTAAGTGCTTCACTATGCTTTTTGTTATAGGCAAAATCTAATATTTATCAGTCCTCTATATCATATAACTGTTTAAATTGTTAATATAATTCTTAATAACGAGTTTGCCCATCCTCCCCACTTATCATATATGTGTATATAATCGGACTGTTATCATTTATGGCTCCTATGAGTCGCGAACAAAGCTTTTGTTTAAAAGTACTTCAAAGCTAACATTGGCTATATGTGTAAATCCAATTAGGAATCACTTTTAGTCAGGAAGTGAGCTCAGAAACAGAGATATTATATAGGTCATAGATGCTACATAAAACTGCAGTTTGCATATCTGAAGGAAAAGGGAAAGCTTTTGCAAACCAAACACATCAAATTTATCAGATGGAAAACGCTTATGGAACAAATTGGGAAATTTCTAACAAATTGAATGCCTGACGCACTTGATTATCTTCCAGAAAATTTAATTGACATTTTGCAACTGCATTTGGGTAGCTGTTTGATTGATTTACTTCTGCTGTGCTCTCTCACAAGGCTTAAGGTCAGCACTCTAAAATAATAGGACACCCATCCACACAGCTGTGTCCAGGCGTTTGTCACACATCAGGACAAAGGATAATGAGCATTACAAAAGCGGAAATCACACGACCAAACATCCTTTACAAGTTTTTTTCATTTAATATATATTTGCCCGCTACGCTTAATGCCCGAATGTGTGCCTTGAGCAGGCAGCGCAACAACAACAACAAAAAATGAAATGGAATAAGAGTGGGAAAAAAAACTATTTGAATATCGACGTGTGGCCATTGTCCACTGTGCCCGGCCTGGAATGTACAGCCGGGCCTACCTGCGGCTGCCTCTTTGTGTGCGAGGCGCGCATGTAAATTTGTCCAACTGGATGCAAAGACAAACACTTGGAACGTTGAAAGGACAAATGGACAAATGGACAAACGGCCGCCAGTTTGTGGCCACCTGCGGCATTTATTATTATTTTTTTTTTGTTCTCTTTCTGTTTTTTGCATACAATCGCGACTGGGCCAAGAAATACGTGTGTCTGTGTGTGTGTGTTGGAAATTTGATTTATTTGACAATGGCAACGGCATTTAAATGCAGTTTTTCGGTTAAGGCCAACATTAAATTTGTACTTTTTCCTATTTAATGTAAATGTGTGGCCCGAAAATAAGTTGTCAGACGGACTCGAGCATAAAAGTGAAGCGATCGAGAAGGGATTGACTTAAAAAGTGCCTATGGAAAAGATTTCGAATTGGGCTGCAGTTGGTTGTTTTGTTTTTGAGATATCTATTTAAAATGATATTCACATTTTGTTTATTTTCACACATTTAGAATTCACACTCCAATACAATTTGGCTTAAATGGAAGAATTTTTCTTGCTTCAGTTTAAATTGTTCGTTTTAATTACTTTCACATTGGTCCTTTCTGTGAAATGTATATACCAAGGCATTTAAAATGCACGTTTAGCCATTGTTTAATTTTGAATACATATATGTTTTATGTAGCTCAACGGCGTTGATATCAAATTGTATCTACAACTTCAATTTAATTATAAGCCACGCACGGCTCATCAAAAAATTCTGCAGCAACCGTGTTGCAGGTGCAAATGCAGAACTTTACAGTCCGCATCGTCGTCGTCGTCGTCGTCGCCACTCGCTAGCCGTCAGTCCTGAGCGATCCCAGCACATTTTCGGTTCCACATTATTATTATCCACGCTTTGTGGCCCGGTCCCGGTCCCGGTCCCCGTCTCCATTCCCCTCCCGCTTTGGTCTGGTCAGGCTGGTCGACTTTGCCGCTTATTGAACGGCTCGACCGCGCTACAATTCATTTGCAAAGCGTATCCAAAAATGTTGATGGGATTATTATATGTTGCTGTTGAATGTTGGACTGCAGGTGGAATCCCAATATACCTGTGTCCGTGTGTGTGTGCAGGTCTTTATCTTTTTAATGTCGTGGATTGCTTTGTGTTTTGCTTAAAGCATTAATTTATGTATTAAAAGTTAGAAATCCGTGTGGACAGGTGAATTTTAGTGCCCCTGCGTATTGGATACATGCATATTTCTGTGGCAGTCATGCTACAAATATATAATTTGGTATTGCTGCCAGTGAAATTGTTGATTATGCATGGAGTTGGTAATTTAAGGACAGGTGAGGCAAGTTCAAGCGAATGACGCCTGGGCATTACCAAAGCGCGACTGTGGGAAATAATCTTAGAAATTCTTGTTATGGTATTACAGGAACTTCAGTCAATAAAATTGATTTTTAAATAACTTCACATATATTGTGTTGAATCTTTTAAACTTTTGGTCTATAAATTGTATCTATTCTCGACCAAGCAC